CTCCCGGACCGCGAGATCGTGACCTGGCTGAAGTCGGACGCTTAACCGACTGCGCCACCCAGGCGCCCCACTATTTAGTATTTTAAATAATTACTTGCTTTGTAAATGAATCTGTTTTTTCGACTTGCAAATTTCCCTGCAAATATGATTTTCTAAACATTGATTTAGATAATATTTCAAATTATAGAGCTGTGTTCTCTGAATGAACAAACAAATAACCAAATATGGAATCCAAAGGACTTCAGTCTTCATTAAGAAGTTTATTTTATGGATTTCTGGAAAAAAACAAAAAACAAATTTCACTGCTTAACATTCCACATGACTTATTATCCAATACTCAGAGACATTTTTTAAATACCTTCATGTACCATGAAAGTTTCTACATAGCTCATGGCAAAGCTGTTTAGAAAGGGAATCCAACGGGTAGAATTTTAAATGGACCTTTCTTTACTTGTCCCAGCCATACCTTCATTCCAGATGTTCATAGTAAACATTCAGGTATCTGCAAATGTCCCACCCCCTTCCTGAAACCAGAAAATGGCAGATTATATTAGGCCTCATTTCCCCATTATCCAGTGTGTGTTGAAGCTTGTCTTCTGCCAGATCGGAACAGTAACTTCCTTCTCTGCACGGAGGCAGCTTCCTGAATGTACTTCTGTAAGGGGGCATTCTTTCTGATTGTATATAGGCTTTTTCTATTTAGAGATGATTTGGCTTCTCTATGTCCTTAGCAAGAAGGACTGTGTTGAGAGTCCTCTGGGCATCCTGGATCACAGTCAGTATCTAATTTCCCTCCACATTTGTTACCATCTGGCACCTATTCTACTCTTGCCCATTTTGTCATTTGCCTTCCCTGCCCATGGCAAAGCTCTGTATCTGACCCTGTCACCATCTACATGGAGCATCGCATCAAGAGGGTTTAGAGGAGTGGAGAAAAGCAGATCTAGAAAATCTGCTTTTTCTAGAAGAAAAAGGAGAAAATCCAGGAGAAAATCTACCTGGATTTGAATCCCAACTTCAGTACTCACTAACTGCACACCCTTGGGCAAATTACTTAGCTGTTTCATGATAGTATATACTTCATAGGATTGTTATTATGAGGAATAAATGAGTGAATGATGGCTGGCACATGGTTTAGGCATTCTTAATTACAGTTATTAAGGTAGTTTATATAGTGGTTAGGGTCCAGGCTCCAGATCCAAGTGGCCTGGATTCAAATTCTAGCTCTTTCAGCTGCATGACTTTGGACTAGTTACAGTGTACCTCAGTTTCTGCAACTGGAATATGAAGACAATATTCATGAAATTGTTGTGAGAAATAAATGGCTGATAAATATAAAGTGCTTAAATAGTGCCTGACCTCTGATCTATAGTAATCAGTACTATACCCAGGAAATGTTACCCAAAGCCATTATTATCAACTCATGTCTTTCCTCAGAGTTATATCTTGTTCTCATGTTATCTTAGATTTGATCCCATCTTGCCTATTGAAGCCTGCTTGGATTGCCCTAGAGTTACTCCAACCTCTCTCAGACTGAATTCCTAATTGTAGAGCTCCTCCCCGGAGGGTGCTCTGAGAATGCCATGAAAGGCCAGCACACAATGGAGTATACCAACTACTCTTGGCCTAACAAGTGGTAGATTTCTTATTAGAGGTGGTCAACAGTTGAATGGGCCACTATGCGACATATCTAGACAACAGATGGTACCTGTATTGGACGAGGTGTGCTGTGGATAGGATTCCTGAATTCCATAGAAAATTGAACTATATGAGATCTAAGATTTCTTCTGACTCTCGGTTTCTATGACTTACGAAAAGTAAAATACTTCCAAAGAAAGGATTAGACAAAATTCATATGCTTAGTTCAACAAAGTTCCCTAAGTAAAGAATGGACTACAGAAAAGGGAAAACTCAGCAGTATCTCTTTGTAGTATCATCCCAGACTCTTAACCTTGCCTCCTCTCTCTGAATACTTATTAACCAGCTAGGCATGAATCATACTTTATATCATAAATTTGGATGAATAACAGCATAAACCTTACTCTCTGCCAGAGAGGACAGTATTGGGAGCATCACTTGGCTGGGAGTCAAGAGGAGATTGAGCTACATTATGGGTGTGGAATGCCAAGTCTGAGAGAGATTTGAATAAGTAGCAGTTGAGTAATCTGAGATGTGAATGGCATCCAGGAACCAAGGTCCAAGATGCTATCAAGAGTGATGTGGCTGTTCCTGAGCAAAGGTCTCCTGCAGTCTAAGAGGCTAAGATGCAAACCAGAACAAGGCTATTAGATGTAAAATCCACCATGTTTCATGAGGAAGCGGGTAGATTTCAGCAGCCTTACCTTCAGTTTATACCACCATTACCGTGCTCTATCCACCCGAGTGGCTGAGTTTATGCTATTGTAGTCTGTGGAAAGATTAAGTTGGGAAAGGAGGGGTGGAAGAGGCTGGAAACCTGAATCCTCCTATTATGTACCTTTTTTTCCCCTTGAGGCATTGTGTGTGTGTGTGTGTGTGTGTGTGTGTGTGTGTGTGTGTGTGTAAAACATTCATAGAAAAGGATCCCAGGATTTTCCCTTCTGTGTATTTTTGTCTTGGTTCCTTTTGGCCCATGATGCCAGTTGGGTTCTTACAGAGAAACCAAATGGAAGGGGGAGGGGACTGAAAGTTCCAACCCTTTAGTCACTAGGTTGGTTCCCTTGGCAACCAGGCCCCATCCCTAGGTTCTTTACAAAAGTCACTTCCTTAACATGACAAAGAAATCAGCACAGGAAAGTCCCAAGATTTGAGAAGTTCTGTGCCAGACACTTTGGGGTGAAGACCAGATATATTGTTCTTATTATAAATCACTAAAACACATTAGCATGGTAGTAGGTGTATATTAGCAAGACTAATTCCTGATCTCCAGGCTTGGGAGGTTGCTGATATCCATCCCGCCCTCCCTGCCACCTCTGCCTTAGGTCTGGATCACAGAAGGAGCTGGATGTGGCTGAGTATGCAGATTGGAGACAAAACCAACAGCAGAGAAGGATTGGCACAGCAGAGAAGAAATCACACCGTATCGGGCCACTCAGTGACTCTAGTATGCCATGTTTGTGTTTATCTTGCAGTCTGCCTCATGATCGGGTAAGAAATGCTCTCCCTCTTCCCTTAACTTAGCCAAATCCTACCCATCCTTTATGGTCCAGGTCAGTTCCATTCCTACCTCCTTTGTTAGTCTGTCTCCGTGATTGGAGCCCCTAGAGATGTCATCCTCTTCTGACTAGTAACACCTTTGGAGCTACTCACTGAACATTTCCCGGTGGTTACTTAGCTTTTCCTTTGCATATTTTATCCCTTATCTAGATTTGAGCATCTTGAAGCTGGGGACTGGATTTTATATCTTATTATAACACCCTCAGTACCTAAACAATTTCTTTAGTTGGCAATGTAGGGGCCCAGGGCAGGTCACCCCAAAAGGGGCCACAATGGCTTCCTGATGACTTTGCATTAAAGCTGCTGAAGAAACAGCCAGTGCAAGGACACTCTGACCTAACTGTGTCCTGTGAAAAGGGGAAATAAATCTCCCATGTGGAAGGCACCTTCCCTGTGCCAGGAGGTAGAGAGATAGGGAATCTTTATCAGCAGAAACAGGGAATTTAAAGCCAAGAAGGCCATATAAACAAACTCTGTTACTTTTGACTAATTTACTACCTCAGCCCACATGCTGTTTAGAATTTCTTACTAATTGAAGCTCCTGAACATAAGTTTTCTTTTTCCTGTCTACTCCTCACAAGTTTATTGTCTCTTTGATGAAAAAGTTTAAAAACTGCCTGCCTTGTCATTGCCTTAGGTCTCAATTTCATTATTGGGCCTGTGTGTGCACATAATTAAATTTTTGGGTTTTTGGGGTTTTTTTTTTTTTCCTCTTCTGTTAATCTGCCTCATGTTAACTTAATCCTTAGACCAGATAAAAGAAGCTTGAAGGGTACAGGAAATTTTTAACTCCCGGAGAGCAGTT